GTATTTAGGGAGATTTAAGCATTTATTATCACTGATGAAGGTATTACTGCAGCTTTATTAATTTCATTAGAGAATAAGCTACTGTTAAACCTTAGTCACAAAAGCAAACAGGAGAATCCAAATCTTGTCAGTGTCAATATGGAAAAGGCACGGATGTGGGAAAACACTGCCCTTTATTTCTGGTGGCACGAGTCAGGTTTTCACCACTTAAGTGCCTAAACAAAAACATCTCCTTAAATCTGGAACCTCAGATTTCAAAAGAAAACCCAGAAAAATCAGTGTTTGAGTGCTTTTCCCCCTCAGGATTGTGGTGTTTTCTGGAATGCTGTGTTGCATGTTACATGCATGCCATGTAACACGTGTGTGTCACCGTTTGGCAGGTGGACAGTGCCATGTCCCTTATCCAAGCAGCCAAGAACCTGATGAATGCAGTGGTGCAAACCGTGAAGGCTTCCTATGTGGCATCCACCAAGTACCAGAAGTCCCAGGGAATGGCTTCACTCAACCTTCCCGCTGTCTCTTGGAAGATGAAGGCTCCGGAGAAGAAACCCCTGGTCAAGAGGGAGAAACAGGACGAAACCCAAACCAAAATCAAGAGAGCATCCCAGAAGAAACACGTGAACCCGGTGCAGGCCCTCAGTGAATTCAAGGCCATGGAGAGTATTTAAAGCGAGGTCTGTGTCTCGGTCCTGTCTTTCTCTAGCCCACCACTGCTCCTTCCAGAACTCTGCTTTTAATATTCCGAGGATTTGTCAGAAGTTTACCCTTCCTCAAAACGTATTTCCTTAATATAATTTTGATAACTCTTGTTAGATCCTGTGGGGGAACAACTCAGATTTCTAATTCCTATCGATGAGCGTAGCTTCAGCCTGCGGGAGTGTGTTCCTTTAGATGGCTTTTAGATTTCAGGGGGGTATTTCTAGCTGAAAATCGTTTTGTATAATCCTGCTTTAAATAAACCATTCTGTAACCAAAGAGGGTTTGACAGTAACACTAACGGTTAACACTGACAGTTGACTCATGCCACTCGGAGGCTGCGATCCAGTGAGGGAATTAGATCTTTAACGCAAAGAGAAACTAACGAACGTATTGTGTGGATTAGCGCGTTCCTGCTGCTGGGGTGGAGAAAGGAGGGAACAAGCTCTGTGTGCTCGGAGGAGTATGGAAATGCAGCAGGAGACGCGTGCCCAGCCAGGGAACACCTGGAATGCCGCCATTCCCTGTGGCTGTGGAGGGAGAGGGTCGCGTTCCAGATGTTCCTGGTGGCACAGCCGCTCGGTGATGCCGCTTCCCTTCGCTTTTCCCTTTCCCTGCCCGCGGGCTGTTGCCACACGCATGCGGAGCGCTCCCGGGTTCCGTTGCCAGCAGCCTCACTGGGGCAGCACCCGGAGCAAACCCATGGAAACGGCTGATGCGGAGGCGGCTGCTTACCCCTGTGTGACAGCGGGAGGGAGAGCGGCTGCCTGCGGGCGGATCCTCCTGTGTTTTGCTGTGGGACACTAATAAAGTTGCTTTGCCCAGCTGGTGTATTGTGGTGCTGCGAAGGGAGCGGGCTCCGCTCCCCCCCCCCGGCCATTGAGATGCAAATCAGCTTTGTGCTCATTCCTCGTAATTGCTCTGCATCCTGCCTTGGGCTTCCAGAGGCACCCAGGAAAGCTGTTTGCTCAGGCTGCATTCTAGACCATGCATTATTTGTGGTTACTGTAGCTACAAGGTGTAATTGTGCTGTCTGATTTAGACGTTATGGATTTCAGTGTGTTTTACACGTGCCCATGAAGTCCGGTGTCTGAGGAGAAGTCAAAGTCGCGTTGGCTGTTTCCATAAAGCATCCATTAAAATGGAAAGCAGCCTGCTCTGTAGTTAATGTTTTAAACTGCATCTAAATTTCAGAGCCGAGCCTTGGCAATGTTACGTTATAATTTTATTTACCTTGATCAGCTTGTAATTTACTGTATCAAGGTTATTGCTGTCGTGTTACCAACACATGGAGCAGAATTCAGCTAAATAGGTCTGGGGGGATTTTGGCCAAATTTATCGTGTTTTCAAGCATTTTAGCCTCTTGAGGAGAGAATTAATAACTGAATTATGGTTTTCATATGCCTTTAACACACTCAGAGGATAAGAACCTCTGCTGCCATGGATGTTAAAGGGTTAATGGAGCAGCTAAGCTGTAGAGCTTGTTTTAGCTGTAATTATTTAACTGCTTTTACACAATACGAGGCTTTTCTCCCCTGGTATTAATATAATTGTCTTGAAGGTCACATCCCCAGGCTGCGCAGTGGCTCCCTCCAAAATACATTCATTACTCCCCCCAAAATCCAATCCACTAATGCGCTCTAAACCCCACCCTGTCCATTAGGATGTACAGGCAGATTGATGTGTATTTAGCTTTTAAATAAATGGCAGTTCATTTTGTGCTGCAAACTTTGAGCATCAGGGGAACAACAGAGGGAAACTGGGCCCTACCTGATGGGAGCTGCTTTGGAGGTGCAGCTGAGGGGCAGCTCGAGGGGCAGCAGCCAGGGACCACAGACCCAGCACGGTGCTACCCAAGAGCTGCTCCTCGGAGGAGTGTGTCTGTGTCTGGAGAGGTCAAATTGTAGAACCACAGCCTGGTTTGGGTTGAAGGAACCTTAAAGCTCACCCAGTTCCAGCCCCTCGCCACGGGCAGGGACCCCTTCCACTGGAGCAGCTTGCTCCAAGCCCGTGTGTCCAACCTGGCCTTGAACACTGCCAGGGATGGGGCAGCCACAGCTTCTCTGGGCACCCTGTGCCAGCGCCTCAGCACCCTCACAGGGAAGAGCTTCTGCCTTATACCCACCCAAACCTCCCCTGGTTTAAGTTTAAACCCATCAATCACCCCTTATCCTATCACTACAGGCCTGGTTGAAGAGAGTGTCAGGTAATTTCAGCCTTCTGTGTGGTGCCAGCACATCAAGGGGTGATGCTGAGCTCCACAGTGATGCTGAGCTGCATGGTGAGGGGGGTCCGGACACCAGCGAAGCTTCAGCTTTATTAGAGGAATGGAAAGAATTGCAGTGATTACTGCTCGATGCAGTGAAGCACAGGGGAAGGGGTTGTGCAGCCGGAACACCCTGGAGGGAGGGAGTGCAACTGCGTCCTGTTGGAACAGTTGTGTGGGTATGAGGTGGGAAAGGGTCCCAGCACCACCTCTGATGGTGAGCCATGAGCTGAAGCCTCCCCATGAGCTCAGCATCGCTTCTCAGTGAAGAGGAGGGCACTGAGACATCCCAAACCATCTCCTGAACAGGATTTGGGGTTCTCTGTGCTGCTGTGAATGGCAGCACCGGTGAGGCTATGCCCAACTCAACAGCCCCCTGCCTGCCCCAGGGCCCTGCCTGCACAGGAAGATACACCCACATTGTCTTGTGAAGTGCATTCATTAGTGAAAGCACGTTAAACCCCGGGAGCCCGGCTTACTCCACATTTCAAGTGCTCTTAATTCAATTCAGCCACGTTGAATTTGTGCTCTTTAACTGCGTGTGAAGGCTCCCGGGCCCAGGTTTAACCCTGCTCAGCAAATGCCTTTAACGTGCAGAGCTCTCCCTTTGCCCACCCAGCTCTGCTGCTGCCGGCGCAGAGCCCAGCCCCAGGCAGGGCAGCCATGGGCCAGGGGCTCTTCTGGCTGGGGGGCACGATGGGTGCAGAGAGGGGGCAAGGCACCCAAGCGTGCAAAGCTGATAGAGCAGCACCCCCGTGCAGCTGCCTCCCCAGAGAGAGCCCGAGGGCAGGTGGGAGAGCAAGCCCCAGCCCCACTGCAGGGTGCCCCGCACATCCCCCTCCCAGAGCAGAGCCCTTTGGGCAGGGAGGATGTGGGGCTGAGCACAGCTCCATGTGAAGGTCACTGAGCAGCATCAGAGGAGCAGGCTGCCCAAGGCCTCAAAAAGCCTTTGCACTGCAAGTGCCTTCCGCTGCCAAAGGGCTCAGAGCCAGGCCAGGAGGTCCTTACTTTACATTTACTTTGCTTCCTTCAACGCTCTGCCCTTCCTCAGCTGCGCTGCTGCTGCTGCTGCTGCTCAACAGCTTCACAGCTCCAAGGCATTTGAGATGAGAAAGGGGGCTCTGCCTTTGGGGGTTGAAGGGAGGGGGCTGCCCCAGCTGCTGCTGGCTCCCTCCTCACTCGCGCTGTCATCAGGAGCTGCACCTGCCCCAGCTCCTTCAGCCCAGTGGTGCAGCAGTGATGGGGCCAGGGACATCCCTGTGCCGATACCCCCAGCCCTGCTCTGGGATTCAGGCTTCCTGCAGAAAAGCTCCTGCCCAAGCTTGCCCTGGCCCCTGCCATTGGGTTGGTTTTAACCCGCACAGCAAAGCCCCGCAGGACGGGCTGAGGAATGCATTTAGGAGAAGAAAGTAACAGAACAGTCATTTTTAATCCCAGCAGAACAGCCTGAACAGAAACCTGAGAGGGGACAAAAAGCAAACTCCTCAATAATGTGTGATCAGCCCTGCTGCTTAACAGTGACAAGGGATGTGCTGGAAGTGGCTGCCAGAAATACTTTAGCCTCAGGAAGGGCTGAAACAGTGAAGCAGGGATCGGCCTGCTCCAAGCCAAGGCTGGATTAGTGCAGAGAGCCCCTCCAGCCAGTGCTTGTCCCCCTGTACCAGCACAAAGCAATCCATAGGCAAACGGTGCTGTGTGAGTGCTGGGATGCTTCATCCAGAGGCAAACCAAGCTCAGAGGCACAGCCGGGCACCGTGGGGCAGAGCAGAGCTGTGGGAACAAACACCTCCACCCGTGCAGCAGAGCAGCCCCACACGGGCAGCCCCGCATCCCCCTGTCCTTCCCACCCCAAATAACCCTGCGGACGGAAGGCTGGGGCAGTGGCAGCTGAGGCTTTACCTCATGCCCTCCAAGGCAGCTCCCTGTATTCTCCCACAGAAGGACCCGTGCCCCACACGTGTGGGCTGCATTAAGGAGGCTGCTGGCACGCTCACGGCGCTGGGGGCTCAGTGCATCCAGCGTTTATTCAGAGGTGCCGGTACACCGGTGCCATGCAGACTGCCACTGGTGCCCTGAAGTGCCTGGAGCGGAGGGAGCCCGGGGCTGCTCTCAGCTCAGCTCCTGGATGATGGTGTTCACAGAGCCCAGCAGCTCCCTGAAGTACCCGTCCTTGTCCCCCTCCCGCTGCTCCTCCGCCGCCAGCTCCTCGTACTCGCTGCGCAGGAGGCCGAGGGCGGTGCTGAGGGCCGGGTCCCCCCGGTAGCGCTCCCTGCAGAAGGCCATCAGCACCCCCAGCATCTTGAGGACCTTCTCGCGGCTGTCGTGCTCCGGCATGGCCAGCAGGTTGGAAACCACCACACACCAGTCCTGCTCCACCACCGCCGGCACCAGCTGCACCTGCCGGTACTGCTGCAGCCTCTCCTCCAGGTGGTCCCCGTGCTGCGAGTCCTCCAGCAGCATCTGTGGGAAGTGATGGGGCACGGATTAATGCCCTTGTCATGGAGGTGACACATGGCGGGAGAGCAGGGTGCACAGCCGTGAACAGCGCCCTGCAGGGTCACTCGGAACAGAAAACCAAGCCAAGGTTGTGTTTGACATGGAATTACCCACAGGGGCTGTTTGCCCGCCTCTTGGTGCCCAATGGATTCAGTCTCGCGTGGGGCTGGAAGGGGCTCAAGGGGAAGAAGTTCAGCACAAGACTTGTAAAGCCTCTGGGGCTGTTGCTGGAGCTGCTCCTGCAGCACAGACACAGCTGCTGGGCCTTGTGCTGCTCCTGTGATGGGGGCAGAGCTCGGCCTCCTCCAGCTGCAGCCGGAGCTTCCTCTCCCAGCCTGGCCAGAACCCCAGACACCGGCATTCCTCAGGGATGCTGCTGAGACCAGAAGGTGCCCGCAGGGGCCAGGGCAGGCAGGGACCTGCCCCCAGCAGCACCGGGGCCAGAGGGGGCGGCCAGGAAACCTCCCAGCACCCCCCGACACCAGCGGGGCCCACATGGTGCAGTGGCTGTTGGTAACATGGGATTCCTCAATGGATCCTCCCTGCTCGGCTGGTGGCCTCTGCAGTGATGGCCATGGTGGGGCTGCAGCGGCACGGGCTGCTCGCCTCGCACTGCAAACCAACAGAGGGGACTGAGCTGAGCTCTTAGGCAGAAGCTCTTCCCTGTGAGGGTGTTGAGGCGCTGGCACAGGGTGCCCAGAGAAGCTGTGGCTGCCCCATCCCTGGCAGTGTTCAAGGCCAGGTTGGACACAGGGGCTTGGAGCAAGCTGCTCCAGTGGAAGGGGTCCCTGCCTGTGGCAGGGGCTGGAACTGGATGAGCTTTAAGGTCCCTTCAACCCAAACCAGTCTGGGATTCTGTGAGTGCTGCACGTCAGAGCCAGCACCTGAACAGATTCAGACCTGCTAAAAGAATCTGCACCTTTACAAAGTCTCCTGGAAAACAAACTGGTTTAGAACAGCCAAAGCTCTGCGGTGCCCGAGACCCCAGCACTGCAGCAGTAATTACCTGCAGGACAAATTGGCTATGAACAGAAAGAGGATTAATCTCCATCCCCTGGAGAACAGGCGCACACACACACACACACACACACTGAGCAAGCAGTGATGGTGAGCACAGGCAGGATTCAAACTGCCATTTCCAGCAGTAATCCAAGGAAAGAAACTCCCTTGGCTGGGGCTGGGCTGCAGGGCAGGGGCAGGGGCAGGGCAGCAGTGGCTGGGCCCCAGTCCCTGGCACGTGGTTTAAGCTCACTCTGAGCTCTCCCAGGCCCTCGTGTCTGCAGCTGGAGGGAACCCGTCCCAGGAGCCCCCATGGTCAATGGGCTCCTCCTCACCCCTACCCCGTGAGGACGCACGACAGCCCCTGTGCTCAGTGAGGGGGTGAGGGTCCCGTTCGGCCCCGTCCCTCCCTCCCGGCTCCTCACCTTCTCCATGATGAGGTCGTAGAGCAGCGTCACCACACGGACGTGCAGGGGCTCCATCCCCTTCTGCCTGAAGAGGCTCCTGAGCACCTGGAGGCCGCCGAGCTTGAGGAACTGCTGCTGGGCGTAGGGGAAGTGTCTGAGCATGGAGGAGAGCGCGAAGAGTGCCTGGAGGGGAGAGAGGTCCATCAGCCCCGTGCCTCTCTGCATGGCACGCCATGGGGACAGCAGGAACGCGCTCCAGCCCACTTGTGCACTGAAACCGCTCCCTGCTGAGGGCTATCTCCAACAGTCCCCTGTATCCCTTCCCGGTGCTGCAAGGCTGCCCAAACCTGGGTGACTTCCACCCAATCTCCAACCTCCACTGTCACCATGGCTGCTCAAGGATCAACCAGAGGGGCCCGTTGCCAGCACCAAACACCATTGCTTCTCCTCGCGGTTCACTCCCCCCAGTCCTCAGTACAGAGCCTGGCTATGGGATCCGCAGGGCAAAGGGGGGTCCAGCACCGCTCAGCAGAGCCTGACCCCCTCGAGATGATTTGGACACTTGGGGACCATCCTCCCCCTGCACCCCTGTGGCCAGAGGCCACCACCAGGATGTGTCCCCGTGTCCTGGGTTTAGCAGTAGCAGTCATTTTTCTCTTTCTTGGTAGCTGGTGCAGTGCTGTGTTCTGACTTTCAGCTGGGAACAGAGCTGATAACAATGATGTTTTTGGTTTGGCCAAGGACTTTGTGAGCCTCATGCTCTGCCAGGGAGGAGGGAAGCCGGGAGGAAGCAGAGACAGGACACCTGACCCAAACTGATCAAAGAGGTATTCCATACCACAGCACATCATGCCCAGGAGGGAACTGGGAGTTACCCGGAAGGGCTAGGAGGGACTGGAGGGTTGGAGGAGGTATCGGTCGGTGCTTGGTTGGGCTGGGGGGGGCAAGTTATCGGTCACCTGGTGATGGGGTATTGTATTCTCTTCCCTTGTTATTTCCTTTATCATTACTATTACTGGTGGCAGCAGCAGTGATTTGTGTTATACCTTAGTTACTAAACTGTTCTTATCTCAACCCGTGGGAGCTGCATTCTTTTTTATTCTCCTCTCCGTCCCTCCGAGAGTAGGGAGAGGGCAAGAAGGGGGGGGAGTGTGTGAACAAGCTGTCTGGCTGGGGTTAAACCACAACACCTGGGACAGCCCCCAGCCAGGTCTGTGCTGCTGCAGCATCACACACCGAGAGCCCCGCACATCCCTCCTGGGCCTGAGCAGCGCGGGGCGAGCACCCGGGGGCAGCTGGGGGCCAAGCAGCCGAACCTTCCACCGGTGTGGTTGTGACAGCGCTGGCTTGCGGAGGGGATGGGCTGAGCGCCCAGGGCAGCGCTGCTGCTGAGCGGGGAGGAGCGGGAGCGGAGCCGGCTCCTCGCACGGAGGGAACATCCCCGCAGCGCAGGGCCAGATCCGAGCTGACAGCAGCTCCCCTGTCCCCTTGCTCCTGTTTCCCATCTCCCGAGTTGCTGCCGGGGCACTCGAGGACGGCTCCTGCTTGAAGCACACAGCAGAGGGAAGAAACGCACCTCTGGCCCCTCTGCTGTGCACCGGGGAGGGAGGGCCCCAGAGCGGGAGCCATGGGGAGGGGCTGGGGCAGCAACCTGTGCTTGGGATCCTGGTCTGGAGGGAGCTGGGAGGCACAGTGTGGGAACTGGGAATTACGAGCCTCTGTCCTGCTGGAGAAGGGGGTTTCACCCTCAGAGGCTCTCATAAGGCTGCATGTGAATGTGGACAACACCGAGGGCATCCCTGTCCCTCTTCTCCAGTGGGTGCCTGTGGGACGGGTTTGGGCTCACTGGGAAGAGCTGTCCCGCACCCACCACGCAGGGGTTCAAGCGATGCTGGTGAGGGTCTCTGCACACCCAGCCACCCCCTCCCACCCCAAACGAGCTCTGGGTTGAGCCATGGCCACTCCTGGGAGGTGTTTTGAGGATGGAGCATCCCATGGGGCACTTCTCAAGCTGGGACCTCCTCACACCCATGGCCAAACCCAAAGCCTCTCCTGGGCCTTTCCCTCACCGGAGGACTCTGACCACGGACTAAAGGGGCGCCCGGTGGTGCTGCACCACCAGCAGCAGGTCACTGCTTGCATGCAGCAGGTGAACTGACGGGAGTGAGCTGCTGGCTCCCTCTCGCAGGAGGTCACTGGGGAGCAGCAGGCAGCGGCACAGCCCCTAAGCCGAGGTGGCACCGGGCGCTGCAGCGAGGGTAATGAGATCTCATGCTCCAGGGAGCCCGGCGAGGAGCCCCCCTCCCGACGGACAGGGCTGCACATTTGGCTGCGGGCTCTCAGCGCTGCTCCGCCCGCTCCGGAGCCACCGAGGGCAGGACCCGGCGCTGGCTCCAGCGAGCGCCTCCCTCCAACCGCCCGCTCCGTGCCCCTCAGCCCCTGGGGGCTGCGCTGCCCCCCAGAGGAGCCGCAGCACCGAGCCCTGTCCCCCCCCCCGGGGCTGGCTGAGCAGAGCAGGGGCCTGCGGGCTCCCGGTGCCGGTGGTGCCCCCGGGAGCGCTTGCAGCACCAGAGCAGCTTCCCCAGAGGTGCCTCCCCACGCTCTCACCTTCTTCCTGACAGGCAGGGGCTGCTCCGTCGCCAGGATCACCAGGAGCTTCTGCAGTGCCCCCCCCTCGATGGCTTCTATCTGGACTTTGGGGTTGCTGCAGGGAACGAAGCAGAGGCAGGTCACCAGCAGAGCAGGCACGGCAGGGTGGGATGGACGCACAGCGACACAAACGATGCCTGACCCCAGGGCATCCCCCTTCTCCCAGTGCTGGCAGCCTGTGGCTGTGGAGGTGTGAGGCCCTGCAGGCCACCCCGCACACAGCACATGACTGATGCAGCCTGAAAGGATGGCAGGGGCTGGGGAAGGGCACACAGAGCCACCAGTGCCACCCCACCACGTGTCCTCCTGTCTTACCCTGGCAGGGAGCCCTCCCCTGTGCTTCCCTTGCAGCTATGGATCCTCTCTTCCCATCACCTCGATCCTTAACTGCCTTTTCCGTTTCAGTTCTTGCTTCCCCTCTCGTGCTCCTCACTTGCTGCCAGTGTGCTCCTTTATTCAAAGGCCCCTTTGCTGCAGCACCGGCCCTGCTTGTCCTGGTGCCCCCACCTCAAAGCGTGCCTGGCCTCACCACACACACACCTCTCACAGCAAGCACTCTTCTCCTGTCTCAAGACCCAGGCTAAACCCCCAGGCCTGGACAAGAGCAGCTGCCCCTGGCCCAGGCAAGGCCAAGCCTTGCTCACCATGGCCCCGGGTACCGGCTGTGCAGATGCTTCACAGCCCCACCTCCAGCACCTCTGTGAAGGCGGTGGGCAGAGGTTACCTGCTCCAGGCTCCCTCTGGCAGGGCTCTCACAGCCTCCATCCCCGATCACAGCCTCCTGTGCTCTGAGGACGAGCTCCAGCACTTGAGCCTTTGCTCCTCTTTGAGGCAGCAATCGCACTGCAGCCGGCCAAAGGCCACGCGTCCCTGCTGCAGCAGAACACCCGCAGCTCTGACCGCCACCAGGCAGCTGCTGGAGCAGCCAGAGCCAAGCACCAGCCAAGAGACAAGAGAGACAGAGGCAGGGTTACAACAGAACCCGTAAGACAAAGGGATTTGGGCAGGAAGCAGCTCCCCGTTAAACCCCACCTAAGCACTAAGCCCATCTGGGTGAGCCGAGTGCCAGGACCCCCCCTTGCTGCACCCAGGCTTTGCACCCCCCAGCGCCAGGAGTCACTGGCAGCCCTGGGATGTGGGGCTCTGCCTGCAGTCACCAGGCTGACCTCCAGGCAGGGGAAGGGGGCTGTTGGAAGCCGCTTCCCATTCCCCCTTCCTGGCTCTCCTGCTGCAGCAGCGCAGGCCCTGCCCAGCACAGGAGCATCCCTGCCCTGCCCGCACAGGCCAGGAGGGAGAACGGACAAAGCCAGGAGCTTCAGGATGCTCCTGCAGAGGGGATGACCACAGCACGGTCCCACGGGCTGCAGCGGCCCGGGGAGCAAACTGGCCTCTGGTGCCTGGGTCCGGCTGGGACCTGAGGCGCGCTCCAGGATGCGGTCATTGCCCAGCCTCAGCACAGCAGCAGTCACTGACAGCAGTCACTGACAGCAGTCACTGACAGCAGTCACTCTGGGCAAGGGAGACCAGAGCAAGCGTGCACCTTTCTCAGTGTGCCTGCACTGGAAGAGGATCTCCTCTTGCTGGAGACCTCCCGGTGCCATTCAAGAAGGTTGGGATATCCAAGCTCCTTTGCCACATCTGTCTACAATCCATAATAAAACCTCTCACAGCAAGGGACACAAGTGATGAACTGAACTGGCTGCTCGCCTGGCTGCTCGCCTGCAGGATGAGAGCTAATTAAAATCTCTGACCCATGGAGTTTGAGGAGCCAAGGAGCACCTCTGGAGATGAGGAAGCCCTCCCGGATGGCAGGAGTACTGCTCACTTCTCAGTGTTTAACGCCTACTATCAATAGTGCAGGCTTCCCACCAACAAAAACAATCATACACTCAGCCCAAATCTGTGCAAACTGCACTGTCAGGCCCAGGGCAAAGCAGCCTGCAGAGAACTGAATACAGTGAGACAGACTGGGGAGCACTCACATGGGAAATTCAGCCTGCGGTGATCCCTGATGGATAAGGGAATGGTGGCACCAGCAATGAAGCTCTGAGACAGGGGCAGGCATGGAATCCATCTCCAGTGAGACCCCGTGATGCTGCAGTGATGGCAGAGATTTGAGAGATGAGACTAACCCGCTTCCAACCCGGGTGAGGAACAGCCACAAGCCTATGGGGACTCCACACAAGTGCTGCGCTCGAGATAAAGCAGCTTCCCAAGAGGGACCCCACTGCCCTCTATTAGCCCCAGTTTGCCCTGGGAGGACCACCTCTGACTGTGGGGTCACACCACATCCCCTCCAGATGTGGTCCTCCCTACACGGCTGAAGCCCTGTCCCATCCTATGCCCATGTCCATCACATCCATCCATCCCTCATTCTACTCCCGAAGAGCACGGTCACCCTCCTCCAGCCACACAGAGGGAAACGTGCTGGGCTGATGGAGCACTTCCATAGAATCACAGAATCCCAGCCTGGTTTGGGCTGGAAGGGACCTTAAAGCTCATCCAGTTCTACTCTGTGCTTTCCAATACTAATGCAGGTTGATGCTCCTGCCTTCTCCCAGGGACCTCTGCAGGCAGGCTCACCTGGGGCTGCCACCCACATCACCACAAGCACCCTGTAAGGCTGAAGCTGCACCATTTTGACCACAAGACAAACACCACTCATGTTTCCCACTGCTGCCTCCTTCCAAAGCTCCTGGAACCGTGACTTTGCCGAGTACAAATTAAAGGTGTCATTTACAAGGGCCTGTAGGGACAGGCCAAGGGGAATGGCTTGAACCTGCCAGAGGGGAGACTGAGCTGAGCTCTTAGGCAGAAGCTCTTCCCTGTGAGGGTGCTGAGGCGCTGGCACAGGGTGCCCAGAGAAGCTGTGGCTGCCCCATCCCTGGCAGTGTTCAAGGCCAGGTTGGACACAGGGGCTTGGAGCAAGCTGCTCCAGTGGAAGGGGTCCCTGCCTGTGGCAGGGGTTGGGATTGGATGAGCTTTAAGGTCCCTTCCAACCCAAACCAGTCTGGGATTCTGTGGTTCTATGGAAGTGCTCCATCAGCCCAGCACGTTTCCCTCTGTGTGGCTGGAGGAGGGTCACCATGCCCTTCATGGAGAGGGGAGAACACAAGAAGCAGGGGAGGGGAAGCCAGCAGCAACCTCCCCTCGGAGCCCGCCTGCTGCAGCGGCACAAGGAAATGCTCCATCTTCTGCCAGCTTCTATTTCACTGCGTTGGAGTTACAGCTTCCCACGAGGGACAGACATTATCACAGTCAAGGCTGGTTTGCCAGAACCCCACAAGCCTCAACAGCGCATGGGGAGAGGAGGAGAAGCCATAAACCCAGGGCCCGAGGCACAGTGATCAGCGCTGTCAGAGTGCCCCATGCCTGGTGGCCGGTCCTGCCTTGGCGGGTGGTGAAGGCAGGGATGGAGCCAGCACCTCCCACAAGCGTTTGCACCCTTCCCCCTTTTCTCTTCCATTAAAGCTCTTTGTGGAAGCAGCAAGACCTCAAGATGAAGATGAGCAGGCACAGGACCCACCAGCACAATGGATCAGAGCCCTCCAAACAGCCTCCCCATGGGCTGCAGCTTGCAATCCCCAACGTGCTGCCATTCCCCTGCACCTTGCTGTCAGGATGTGAGGGACCTGCTCATGGGACTGTTTCTCCCTGGACACTGTTTTGGGCATGTTAAGGAGCAGGAGCAGCACAGTGCTCCTGAAATCCAGTATGGGCTTCTCTGCCGTCTTCACTGGCAAACTCACTCCATGGAAGCAGCTCCTGTTTTGCTGAGCAAGGGATTTTATCAGTGCTACCCATGAAGAGACAGACACCCCATTGCTCATAGGATGAGCCCAAGTACACACATACAAATTTAGGAGAGACTTTCAAGTGTTCCCAGGCCGCACATGCAAGGGACGTGGGAAGACTGAAAAGCAGCATCAGAGCCCTGAGGCAAGAGCAGCTCTTGAGTTAGGTGGGAACTTGCAATACGGCAGCAAAATTAGACTGAGATTTAAACTACATTTGAGCAAAGGAAAGCCAAGTGGTGCAGAGGGACCCGGGGACCCACGAGGACACAGACAGCGTTTCTTATGTGGCCTGCTTGTTATAGCAAACAGACCCTAGAGAGAAACCAGGGTCACCTCCTTGCTCTGAGCACCCTGCTGAAGCCAGGCAAAGCCCAGAAAGAGGTGTGAGAGGGGGAGTGCAGTGGAGGGGATGCTCTGCCCGGCAGGAGCAGGGTGCTGAGCACAGCACTTCCCCTGCCCTGGCTGGAGCTGCGCTGGTGGCCACACACCGGCTCTCATGGCCACTGTCTGCATCCGCCCCCCCAGGGCACAGGCTGGGAGCTGGGGCTTTGATGAAAGCCTGGTGCGATGGTGAAAAGGGAAGATAATCACGGGGCTGGACAGGGCTTAATGGGGCTCTTCTCTCGACAGAACCTGCGCTCTGCGATGCCACCTGGGAAATCAAAGCCAGGGATCAAAGTCTGCAACTCTGTGAAACAGCCTAAAAAATTTAGTACAGTCTCTTTAGGCTGAGCTATAACCTGAGGATCAGAAGCAGGCAGCGAGGCTCACCCTGCCCTCCCCGCTTATCACACTAAAAACTGCTAATGAACATAATGAGAGTGCACCAAGGCTCTGGCTTGGGTCTGAAACGCGGCTTTACAGCTCCAAGCCCTGCCTGGCTTCTTGTGCCTCATCACACCTGGGTAGGAATCTGAAAGGCAATGAAAAAGGTCGTTTCTGTAAGTCCTGGAAAGCCAAAGCTATGCAAGGAAGGGCACCGTGGAAAGGCCAATGATTTTTGCAGAGGCCTTTCTTTGGAGGATTTCTGACAGCTCTTGTAAGTATATTCCTGTTAAAATTTCCTGACAGACAATAGATGGAGAGATAAAACTGATCATCACGATGTCAATGCTTAAAGGTTGGACTGGAATTCAGTAATTTCAGGCCAGACTATAGCTGTAAATCTGAGACTCTGAATAAGGGCAGAAAATAGAGGCAGGATGATCAGCAGCTTGTTAATCCTTGCACCACTGAACTGTAGGTTGCAGGTTTAAGA